AAGTCTTTTTATCACTTCTTCAAAGTTACAAGTCAAATAAACAAAAAATATCATCCAAGTCAACAGTCATCGAGACATGTATTTTCAGTATTGCTCTTATGAACCAATGGATTTAAAGTATGCTCAACAAATAGCCTCATATGAAGTAATAAAGATAAATATTGCGTATCTGAACGACGTCTCCTCACTTTGGAGACAAGTTATGCATGCTTTTGAACATGATCTTGAAAAAGGATGAGCGAATAAAGGCAGTAAAAAACAAAATGAAGAAGAATAGCAGCTCGGAAGAAGAAGTGTCGGCTATAGTGAAGACGATCGTGGAACAATGCAGCAAAGTTAAAACGTATGTTTCGTCTGGAAAGGTAAACGATTTACCAAAAGACCTGCTGCCTTCCCAAGATGTCGACATGATACATGATATGTTTAGCTCTTATCCTCCTAATCATCAGTTTGCGAAAGGCTCGATATATTATGACTGCAAAGTAAGTACCTTGAAGCATTTAAAAGCATTTTACAAACTATCAAGTATGCGTGAAATCCTTCAAGGAAAATCGTTTAATTGCTTTCCGCTGAGGAGGACATTCATTCCATCCTATATGACTATCGACGCTTATCTTAAACACGCAAATTTTGAAAAACCCTGTTACCAGCCATTTGGACAAAGAAATAGTATGAGCTTCTGTTCTCAATGTCGCAGCAAAGGCAATGAAGTCACAGGGTGAAAGAAAAACAATGATGCTTAGAGGCATGCTGTTCACTGATGGTGTTGGTATGTCTGTGTTGAAACAAAATGATGATACGAAGAAGGGCGGTGGTGGTGCTGGTAGAAGAACGAAAGCAGTGGATGAAGAAGATTTCAAATACGTAGAAAAGTTGGAAAAAAGAAGAGATATTGGCTGGTGTCGGCAAGTGTGTGTTGATAGATCCTGGTCGGCGCGACATGCTATATTGTATGCATGAAGAAAGCACCATATAAAACAAGAGGACATACAAATACACATGAAATCAAAGAGCAATTGAAACAAAGTCAAGAAAATTCAAGAAGCTCCGGGAGAGCTTGAAGCCTGATGATGTCAGAGCTGCCAAAGCATCATTGTCAAAGTGCAAATCTTCAACAGTTAATGGAGACAAATTTGCCAAGTACCTTCAGGAAAGAGCAGCAGTAACACCAGTCTTGGTTAAGTATTATGCAAATGTAGATATTCCTGCTGTAGAAACAAACTTGTTGCCGTTTCGAAAAATGAAGCTTTCCAGCTTCATAAATGGACAGCAAGCAGATAAACGACTGGCCAGGAATCTGATAACAAAGTTCGGTGATGACGCTACCCTGATAATTGGCAACTGGTCTGCCGGAAATGTCAAGTTCCACGAGCCCATTAGAGACGTTGGAATGAGAAGGATGCTAGCTAAACAAGGGTTCAAGATATACCTTCTTGATGAGTGTAAAACATCTAGCTTGTGTCCTACATGTCTGAGCGGTGAACTTGAAAGTTCAAAAAAGTTCAAAATTCAAGACCTTTCCAGAGAGAAAAGCAACCAACTGTAACATGGCATGGCCTTTTAGGGTGATTCGTTTCTGTGTTTATAAATCCAACTCTTATATTTATTATTTAGGTGCAAAAACCAACAATGTTTGGAGACCAGGCTGGTACAATTTCTCGTCGTCGTCTTTGGAACCGTGATATGGTGGCCACTTTAAATTTCAGGCACATCCTTTTTGGGCTGCGTGAAAACGGAAAA